GTATCAAAAATGGTTTGACTTGAATGCCAGTTCTAAGGAAAACTGTCGCTGACTGCTGTCTGTACTGAATTGCCTGCATATCGCATAATACCAACCTAGATTGAAAAAAAAAAAAAAAAACCAACGCAAATGTGAAAACAATATGGAAGCCCCGCTTAGTAGTTTACCGGACAGATAATGTGGAATCATTAATATAAGCCATGTATGATTATTCCTCCCTTTCAATGTATTATAGATTAGGTCTGAACCAGGGAAAAAAGGCCTTGTGCCAGATGTCATGGCAGTGGTCCATATTCATGAGAGAGGGACTGTCAGATGTTGCCAGAGCATTTGTGAGGCCACGTGGCGACACAGGTATCAAGGAGGCCCATGGGAGCACACTGGAGGCCTTGGGGGCACACTGGAGACCCTTGGGGGCACACTGGAGGCCTTGGGGACACACTGGAGACCCTTGGGGGCACAACTGGAGGCCCGTGGGAACATATTTGAGGCCCATGAGAGCACACTGGAGGACACAGGGGCGCACTTCAAATCACGAGTTGACATGGGGTGCACTGGGGGGGGGGGGGGGGGGGTTCTTGGAGACACAGGGGGGGGACACTTGGAGTCAATGGGAGATGTGGTGTACACTGGGGGAATGGAAGGGTGCTTGGAGACATAGGGTGCACTTCAATGAAAACAGGGTGCACTTGGAGTCACTAGATGACATGGGGTGCACAGGGAGACACTTGGGGGCACACAGGATGGGCCCGTGGGAGCATTACTGGAGACCCGTGGGGGCACACTGGAGGCCCGTGGGTGCATACTGGAGACCCGTGGGGGCACACTGGAGGCCCGTGGGTGCATACTGGAGACCCGTGGGGCACACTGGAGGCCCGTGGGTGCATATACTAGAGGCCCGTGGGAGCATACTAGAGGCCCGTGGGCGCATACTAGAGGCCCGGTGGGGACCACACTGGAGACACAGGGGCGCACTTCAAATCACAAGTTGACATGGGGTGCACTGGGGGGGGGGGGGGTTATTAGAGGACACTTGAAGACACTGAGGTGCACTTAGAGTCAGTAGATGACAAGTAGTGCATTTGGTGTGGTGCCAGGAGACACAGGACACTTGACGGCAGTAGATTGACATGGTGTGCACAAGGGGGAAGGTGCTAGTAGAAACCAGGGTGCACAGGAGTGCAGGTAAAGTCATTAGATGACATGAGGGCAGTGGGGGTGCTTGGAGACACTGGACTACCCAAGGGTGCACTTGGACTTGCTAGATGAATGGTGTGCACAGGGGGGGTGCTTGGAGTCACTACATGACATAGGGGTGCAGTAAGGGGTGCTAGTAGACATAGGGGTTGCACTAAGTTGTGATAGTAGACATAGGGGTACACTAAGGGGTGCTAGTAGACATAGGGGTACACTTGGAGTTGCTAGATGACATGTGGTGCACTGGGGGCTGCTTAGAGAAACAGAGGTGCACTTGGAGTCACGAGACGACATGGAGTGCACTGGGTGGGGGGGGGCTCTTGGAGACGCTGTGGTGCACAGGAGTACACTTGAAGTTACTAGATGATATGGGGTGCCAGTGGGGAGATTTGGAGACACTGGGGTGCACTTGGACCTGTTTCTTCATTGGTTTTCCCTGCGATGTTTGGGGTTGGTGACAGGGTCTCTTTAGGAAGAGCTCCATAGCTAGAAGTGTATACGCCCCGTTATACCGCTGTGCTCTTGTTGTGTCTGGTGGATCTCGTGCTCCAGCTGTGGCGCACTCACTGATCCCGCCGTCTCCTATAATTTATTCCACTGAAAATATCTCTCTTCCTCTGTTTAGTTCCAGTTAATTTAGACTGAAACAAAAATATAAATCTAAAAATACCCAGAAAAAGTCAAGTGGTCTGTGATGTCACCCTCTGCGCTGGGAGAGCAAACGCCTAAAATACAAACCCCCCTTTTATGTCACTTGGTCTGCATTGTTTCCTTTTTAAGTTACATTTATCCCCCCCCCCTCCCCCCTCCAGTAAACACCAAATTCACATTTTTGTTAACAGATTAAATCCTCCCTCCGGCCCCCCTTCAGTCTTGTACAGGTGTACCGGCTCCTCCCCTTCAGTCTTGCACAGGTGTACTGGCTCCTCCCTTTCAGTCTTCTACAGGTTGTACCGGCTCCTCCCCTTCAGTCTTACACAGGTGTACCTGCTCCTCCCCTTCAGTCTTGCACAGGTTGTACCGGCTCCTCCCTTCAGTCTTACACAGGTGTACCTGCTCCTCCCCTTCAGTCTTGCACAGGTGTACCGGCTCTCCCCTCCAGTCTTACACAGGTGTAACTGCTCCTCCCCCTCTAGTCTTACACAGGTGTACCGGCTCTTCCCCTTCAGGCTTGCACAGGTGTACCGGCTCTCCCCCTCTAGTCTTGCAGAGGTTGTACCGGCTCCTCCCCTTCAGTCTTACACAGGTGTACCGCATCCTCCCCTTCAGTCTTGCACAGGTTGTGTACCGGCTCCTCCCCTTCAGTCTTGCACAGGTTTTTGTGTACCGGCTCCTCTCCCCTTCAGTCTTGCACAGGTGTACCGGCTCCTCCCCTTCAGTCTTGCACAGGTGTGTACCGGCTCCTCCCCTCCAGTTTTGTACAGGTACCGGCTCCTTCTCCTGGACTGAAGTGGCTTCCACTGATTTCACCGCACACTGGGAGCCTCTCACAATGTGCATTAGAAGCTGCAGCAAGTCAGATAGAGCTCTACTTTCTTTCCTGGCTGGAGGACATCCAGCATCATCAGGTCTTTTCTCCCCAGCCTGCCTGTCCCTGACCCCACCCCTTTCATTCATTAGAGCTCACTTCATTTCTTGGCTGGAGGACGTCCAGCATCATCTAGCACTTTCCTCCCCAGCTTAACTGTCCTGGCCCCGCCCCTTTCATTGTTTAGTTTTCAGTTCTTTCAGTCACATGATTTAGTATCACAAAGTGGGCAATACAGCCTGTCTAGGAGCACCCCACTCCTCCAGACTGACATCCACTCGTCATTTTGATATTTGCATATCTCCTCCCAAGACGCAGCCCATTGCTTACATCAGGACTGAGGGCTCTGAGAGGAGTACTGAGGCAGGGTGCTATGTATGTTTTCAGGAAGCTATGTGCAGCACCCTGCCGGTCCCACCCACCAGCCATGCTCTACCTGCATTGCATAGAGAAGCACATAGACACAGTGCTGGGTCTAAAATATAAGGTACATAATGAAAATGTAAAAGCGTTATTTATGTTGATGATGGAAGGGGGTGGGAGAAAACCAGGGAAGGCAAAAAATGGGGTCAGCTTTAATGTTCTGTTAAAACCCTCTAAATTACAGATTAGAGCAGCCGGTTCATTTAAAAAATGCCATCAATGCACAGATCTGCCCTGCTGCACGATCCATGGATGATTCACATGTAGCGTATGGGTGATGTTCTATATAACATGGGCTTATTTTGGTTGGATTGGGGGTGAGTGTTGGGCTAACTGTAACGGAACCGGACCCCGACTGCGCTTGGGTACTTCCATTAGAGACTACCGCTTCCCTGTCCTGAACACCGACCACAGACACCACCGCCGACCATACAAGACTAGACGACACCAGTCTTGAAGTAAACCAGGAAATAGACTACTTTATTTTAACACAGATACAAGATAAATACACTCAAGGGAACAACCCCCTCCCCCCCCCTGCATAATGACGCAGGGCGGGGCAATCTACATTTAGTAACAAGAGACACACCAGCAGACAGTCCCATCAGGAGGGAGGGCTGCTGGAGACACCCCCCCCCCCCACCAAGCCAATACACATAAAAACCCCCACATACATCCCATAATAGTTTGCTCCCAAGTAAGACACACAAATAGACCAATGGAATGCAACCACACAACAAAACAATCAACAACCACCCACCCCAATATTAGGACAGATCACCCTGTACCTGCCTAACAGGCACAGGGTGACTTACACATAATAGGGATATGGGGAGCTGAGACAGGGGTCTCCCCACCTCTCTCGAAGTGAGCTGTGTACCATGGGCCCCCCACCCCAAAGTCACTCCCGTCACAGGCACCGCACCTTTTCAAAATGAAAGCAAGTGTTTTACTGCATGTTCCTGCAAGGTGACATTGTAAATCCATCCTACGTCTTCTCTTTCCTGAGTTCTTCTATCCACCCAATACATTTCTTCATCTGTTACTGAGTACCATAGGCGGCCTTTATAGAGAAATAAACGCAGTTTTCCCAACGCACACGTTCCTGCAATGGCTGCTGTTCAGTGGTGTTGGGTGCTGCAGAGTGACTACGGGCTGGGAAACTGAAGACAATCCAAGAGGAAGAATGTCACCAGCACACCAAGGAATCCTCAGAAGGGTCCAAAGCTTTTAGTGGTCACATTATACACAGCGGCAACGTTTTCAAAAGCCACGCAGGGCCCCCGGCGTCACTGCACTTGCCTGATGAAGGGCGCCTGCGTGGCTCCGAAATGTTTGCGCTGTGTCTAATAGGAGACCACTAAAGCTTTGGACCCTTCTGAGGATTCCTTGGTGTGCTGGTGACATTCTTCCCCTGTACACAGAAGTCTCCCCATGCCTACAGATCAGGCTGGCGGCTGGAAGTTTGCGCTCTCCTTGTCAACACTGCAGATCACAGCGCCCCTGGGATAGATGTGGTGCATGCAGGTTGTTGCTTTATGCTCTATCCCATTTCCTTTATACCGAAAAAAACAGGGAAAACAGACAATTTTTACCAAAAAAATAGAAAAAAAACAAAGACTAGGTAGCAACTCCAAGGTGACCTCCAACCTTCTGCAATAGAGCAGCCCTATATTTCTTTGTCCCAGATTAGTGACAGTAGGGTGGGTAGGTCTGGGTGCACTATAGCGAGGCGCTGGGAATGAGGGGTAGGTGGGTGCACTATAACAAGGCCTGGATGAGGGGTAGGTGGGTGCACTATTAGCGAGGCCTGGATGAGGGGTAGGTGGGTGCACTATAGCAAGGCCTGGATGAAGGGTAGGTGGGTGCACTATAACAAGGGCTGGGATGAGGGGTAGGTGGGTGCACTATAACAAGGCCTGGATGAAGGGTAGGTGGGTGCACTATAGCAAGGCCTGGATGAAGGGTAGGTGGGTGCACTATAACAAGGGCGATGGGTGAAGGGTAGGTGGGTGCCTACAGCAAGACCTGGATGAAGGGTAGGTGGGGTGCATATAGCAAGGCCTGGATGAAGGGTAGGGGTGGGTGGCACTATAACAAGGCCTGGGGAGCTGATGGGTAGGTGGGTGCACTACAGCAAGACCTGGATGAAGGGTAGGTGGGGTTGCACTATAGCAAGCCCTGGATGAGGGGTGGTGGGTGCAACTATAACAAGGCCTGGATGAAAGGTAGGGTGGGGTGCACTATAAGCAAGACCTGGATGAAGGGTAGGTGGTGTGCACTATAGCAAGGCCTGATGAAGGTAGGTGGGTGAACTTAAACCAACAAGCCTGGATGAAGGGTAGGTGGGTTCACTATAGCATAGCTTGGGATGAGGGGGTAGGTGGGGGTTCACTATAGCAAGGCTGGATGAAAGGTAGGTGGGTGCACTATAGCAAGGCCTGGATGAGGGGTAGGTGGTGCACTATAAACAAGGCCTGGATGAAGGGTAGGTGGGTGCACTATAACAAGGCCTGGATGAAGGGTATGTGGGTGCACTATAACAAGGCCAGGATGAAGGGTAGGTGGGTGCACGTATAACAAGGCCAGGATGAAGGGATAGGTGGGTGCACTATAGCGAAAGCTTGGATGAGGGGTAGGTGGGGTTCACTATAGCAAGGCCTGGATGAAAGTAGGTGGGTGCACTATTAACAAGGCCTGGATGAAGGGTAGGTGGGTGCACCATAACAAGGCCAGGATGAAGGGTAGGTGGGTGCACTATAACAAGGGCCAAGATGAGGGGTAGTGTGGGTGCACTATAACAAGGCCAGGATGAAGGGTAGGTGGGTGCACAATATAACAAGGCCAGGATGAAGGGTAGGTGGGTGCACTGTGTAGCAAGGCCTGGATGAAGGGTAGGTGGGTGCACTGTAACAAGGCCTGGATGAAGGGTAGGTGGGTGCACTATAACAAGGCCTGGATGAGGGGTAGGTGGGTTGCACTATATACAAGGCCTGGATGAAGGGTAGGTGGGTGCACTATAGCAAAGCTTGGATGAGGGTAGGCGGCGTGTTCACTATAGCAAGGCCTGGATGAGAGGGTAGGTGGGTGCACTATAACAGGCCTGGATGAAGGGTAGGTGGGTGCACTATAACAAGGCCAGGATCGGAGGGGTAGGTGGGTGCACTATAACAAGGCCTGGAAGAGGGGTAGGTGGGTGCACTATAACAAGGCCAGGATGAGGGGTAGGTGGGTGTGCACTATAACAAGGCCTGGATGAGGGGTAGGTGGGTGCACTATAACAAGGCCAGGATGAGGGGTAGGTGGGTGCACTATAACAAGGCCTGGATGAGAGGGTTAGGTGGGTGCACTATAACAAGGCCAGGATGAGGGGTAGGTGGGTGCACTATAACAAGGCCAGGATGAGGGTAGGTGGGTGCACTATAACAAGGCCTGGATGAGGGGTAGGTGGGTGCACTATAACAAGGCCTGGATGAGGGGGTAGGTGGGTGCACTATAACAAGGCGCTGTATGAAGGGTAGTGGTGGTGCACTATAACAAGGCCAGGATGAAGGGTAGGTGGTGCAATCAAAAGCAAGGCCTGGATGAGGGGTAGGTGGGGTTGCACTATAACAAGGCCTGGATGAAGGGTAGGTGGGTGCACTATAACAAGGCCTGGATGAGGGGTAGGTGGGTTGGCACTATAACAAGGCCTGGATGAAAGGTAGGTGGGTGCACTATAGCAAGGCCTGGATGAAGGGTAGATGGGTGCAATAAAGCACCTGGATGAGGGGTAGGTGGGTGCACTGTAACAAGGCCTGGATGAAGGGTAGGTGGGTGCACTATAGCAAGGCCTGGATGAGGGTAGGTGGGTGCAATTAAAGCAAGCCTGGATGAAGGGTAGGTGGGTGCACTATAGCAAGGCCTGGATGAAGGGTAGGTGGGTTGCAATTAAGCAAGGCCTGGATGAGGGGTAGGTGGGTGCACTATAACAAGACCTGGATGAAGGGTAGGTGGGTGCACTATAAACAAGGCCTGGATGAAGGGTAGGTGGGTGCACTATAACAAGGCCTGGATGAAGGGTAAGTGGGGGGGCACTATAACAAGGCCTGGATGAGGGGTAGGTGGGTGCACTATAACAAGGCCTGGATGAAGGGTAGGTGGGTGCACTATAGCAAGGCCTGGATGAAGGGTAGGTAGGGTGCACTATAGCAAGGCCTGGATGAGGGGTAGGTGGGTGCACTATAACAAGGCCATGGATGAAGGGTAGGTGGATGCACTATAACAAGGCCTGGATGAAGGGTAGGTGGGTGCACTATAGCAAGGCCAGGATGAGGGGTAGGTGGGTGCACTATAACAAGGCCTGGATGAAGGGTAGGTGGGTGCACTATAACTCAAGGCCTGGATGAGGGGTAGGTGGGTGCACTATAGCAAGGCCTGGATGAGGGGTAGGTGGGTGCACTATAACAAGGCCTGGATGAAACATTGAAGCCTGGAGCCAATGATGTGATCTGTGTACACAATTTAAACCTCCATTTTCAATTTTACCCGGAGTTTTCCTTTAATAAACTCTTTAGGTTGCTTCCATAGATATATGGAAATCCGATGCGTCAGGAACATCTCATGTTTTATATCATCTTCATCCCTGCAGTGTCCTGACTGGCTACAATGGCACCATATTTGCCTACGGGCAG